GGTAGTGCAGTGGTAATGTCACTAATCCAGAGCATCAGTGCTCTGGGTTCAAATCCTCACCATGGCAACTGGTAGAATTTGGATTTGATTAATAAATCGGGAATTGAAAGCCAGTGCCAGTAAGTGGTGACCATTAAACGATCATTGATAGTCAGCAAAACAACATCTAATCTGAGGAAGGAGAGCTGCTATCTGGTCTGGCCTACATGTAACTCCAGAGCCACAGCAATGTGGTTGTTTTCCTAACAGCCTTGTGAACTGGCTTGGAAAGTCAGTGTGAACAATACTATACTATGTTGGTCTTGCCAGCAATGCTCACATCCCATGAAAGAATGAATTAAAAATGTTCATTAAATAGTTGGGCTTGTGTTTAAAATCGTCACCACATACTGCAATTCTGGAGTTGGGCTTCAACGTGCAATCTGTAAACTCAAGGTAAAAGCACTCGGATGCAGCCAGACTAATGCAAGGACGCCATCTTGTACTGGCAGTATGGGTGCAGAGATTTTTATAAGTTATTTCTAGGGATGTGAGTGTCACAGCCAAGGCCAGCATTTAGTGCACAACCCCAGTTTCCTAGTGAGAAGATGCTAGAGAGCATTACACCTGCAAATTTATTTCAGGTAAACGTGTGGCACCAACTTGCAACGCAGGAAGGCAGCGCGTTTGGCTCATCAATCTCCATGTACAGACCATCAGAATGGCTGCTTGCTCTGAGAGGAAGTATTGGTGGTGAGCTGCCATCTTGAACCACTGCAGTCCATGTGCTGTAGGTTGACCCACAATGCCCTTACGGTGGGAATTCCAGGGTTTTGACCCAGTGGAGCAGTGATATATTTCCAAATCAGGATGGTGAGTGGCTTGGAAGGGAACTTGTCAGTGGTACTGTTCCCATGTATCTGCTCCCCTTGTCCTTCTCGATAGAAGTGGTCGTGGGTTTGGAAGGTTCTCTTAAAGAAAGCTTGGTGAATTTCTGCAGTGCATCTTATAGATCGTATACACTGCTGCTACTGAGGGTCAGTACTGCACTGAGGAGATGTTTGTGGATGTGATGCCAATCGAGCAGGCTACTTTGTCCTGGATGGTGTCAAGCTTCTTTTGAGTGTTGTTGCAGCTGCAAATGGGGAGTATTCCATCACACTCCTGACTTGTGCCTTGTAGATAGTGGACAGGCTTCGGGGAGTCAGGAGATGAGTTACTTGTTGCAAGATTCTTAGCCTCTGATTTGCTCTTGTAGCCTTGTATTTACACAGCTAGTTCAGTTGAGTTTCTGAATGTTGGTAGTAGCGGATTCTTTGACGGTAATGCCATTGAATGACAAGGGGCGTGGTTAGATTGTCTCTTATTGGAGATGGTCATTGCCTGGCACTTGTGTGGTGTGAATGTTACTTGCCACTTTTCAGCCCAAGCCTGGATATTGTCCAGGTTTTGTTGCATTTGAACACGAACTGCTTCAGTGTCTGAGGAGTTGCGAATGGTGCTGAACATTGTGCAATCGTCAGTGCACATTCCTACTTCTGACCTTATGATGGAGGGTAAGTCATTGATGAAGTAGCTGAGGATGGTTGGACCTCGTACACTACACTGGGGAACTCCTGCAGAGATGTTCTGGAGCTGAGAAGACTGATCTCCAACAACCATGACCACCTTCCTACGTGCCAAGTGTGACTGCAACAAATGAAGAACTTTCCCCCAATTCTCATTGACTCCAGTTTTGCCAAGGTTTCTTAATGTCACCCCCTCTCTTCCCTTCCGCAATAGTGATAGGGTTCCCCCTGTCCTTACTGACATTCACACCAGCAACCACATCCAGAAGATCATTGTATACCATTTCCACCACCTCCAGCGACATGCCACCACCAGACACATATTCCCCTCCCATCCCTTGTCCGCCTTCCACAGGTACTGTTCCCTCCAGGACACCCTGGTCCACTCTTCCTTCACTCCTAACAACGTCCACAAACCCACAGCACTTTCCCTTGGAGCTGGCGAAGGTGTAACACCTGCCCATTTACCTCCTCCCTCTCCAGTATCCAAGGGGCCCAAACATACCTTCCAGGTGAAGCAGCACTTTACCTGCACTTCCCAGAATCTAGTCTACTGCATTCGCTGCTCACAATGTGGTCTCCTCTACACTGGTGAAACGTAGCGTAGACTGGGTGACTGCTTTGCAGAACATCTACAATCTGCTCGTAAAAAAGACTCTGAGGTTCCAGTTAACACACCACCTTGTTCCCTGGTCAACATCTCTGTCTCTGGCTTGCTGCAGTGTTCCAGCGAAGCTCAGCGCAAGCTGGAAGACCAACATCTTATTTTTCCACTTGATGACCCTGCAGCCCTCCGGACTCAATATTAAGTTCAATAATTTTAGGGCCTAAACTCTCCCATGTCCCAGCCCCCTACCCCACACACCAGGCCTTGTTACCACATAGCCTGCCATTACACACCCCCTGTTGTTAGTCACTAACAGTCCCCATTAACAACTATTCACCCTCCCAACCAGATCATTATCAACTCCTTTGTCTATCCAACTGCTCTTCTCTTTCTTTGGGCTCTATCCCCACCTACCGTTTGCTCCTTACCTCCTACCCCCACCCTATTTTCTGCAAATAAACCAACATTTTCCTAGCTACCATCAGTTCTGAGGAAGGGTCACTGGACCCGAAACATCAACTCTGATTTTTCTTCACAGATTCCACTGGACCTGCTGAACTTTTCCAGTAACTTCTGTTTTTGTTCCTCATTTACAGCATCTGCAGTTTTTTTGGTTTTTATTTAGTATTTAACTCGCTGCCACATCTCTTCTCGGCATGCCTATCTTGAAGAAGTTTTACTCCTCTCTCCAAAGGGATTTCCATTCCAAACTTTCTTCTTGTCCACCCCGACATTAACTTCACTGTCACTCCTGGTGTTTGACCAGGTATTTGCTAAAACTCATTTCCACAGCCATATCACATTCCTCAGTGACTGCCCTCGGCTCAGGCTCATCCCATGTGGATTCCAACTGAAGTTTCATCCCTCATGCTTTGAATCACAAGAATCTCAGTGATGTTCAACGTTCCACAGACAGCTGCTCTCACCACATTCTGAGATCCACACTCAGTGCCATGCGGCGCCACATGCACACTCTCGACCTTTCTTGCAACACACTGGCTCAGGGCTGCATCCTCCAGCTCATTCTAACAAGAAACTTTCTTTTCCTTTCAGGCATCAAGGCCCACAAGATGCAACAACTCAGAGATACCCATGGCCCTCTGGCCTTCCTCCTCTTCCCTTCCCTCTGACTCCATCCCCTCCCCCAACACTACCTCCTGTCGGGTATTCACCATTCCACTTAATCACTCTCCAATGCTGAATGTTGTGTGCTCAGCAAAGGTCTCAGCTTTATTCCTCTGCGTCCCCACCTTAACGAATTTCGAGCACAACATGATGTCAAATTGTTCTTCCGCTGTCTTCACCTCCATGCCCATTTCTTCGGAGAAGAGTCCTCTCCCTGTCCCACAGACCTCTTTGCCCAGTTCCAACACTCTCCCTCCACCTGGACCCCTCCCTCAGGCCTTTTACCTGCACTTGATCTATTCATTGAGAACTGTCTATGTGATATTGGGGACCTCAATTTCCCTGACCCCCTCACCCAATCCAACCTATGTCCCTCTGAGCTGACTGCACTCCGCACACTCAGATCCAACCCTGACATTGTTATTAAGCCTGCTGATAAGGGAGGTGCTGTTGTAGTCTGGCGTACTGATCGCTACACTGCAGAAGCTGAGCACAAGCTCTCTGATAGCTCCTCCTGTCTTCCCCTGGATCATGACCCCACCAAAGCACATCAGGCCATTGTGCCAACTACGGTAACCGACCTCATTTCTTCTGGTGACCTCCCCCCCACTGCTTCCAAGCCGATAGTCCCCCGGCTCTGCGCAGCTTGCTTCTACCTCCTTCCAAAAATCCACAAACAGGACTGTCCAGGCAGACCCATTGTTTCAGCCTGCTCCCACCCCACAGAACTCATCTCTTCCTACCTTGACTCCGTCTTCTCTCCCCTGGTCCAATCCCTGCACACATACTTCCATGATTCATCTGATGCCTTACACCGGTTTCAAAACTTCCAGTTTGTAGGTTCCAGCTGCCTCTTCTTTACCATGGACGTGCAATCCTTTTACACGTCCATTCCCCACCAGGAAGGTCTTAGGGTTCCCCGGTTCTTCCTGGAGCAAAGGCCTGAACCGTCCCCACCCACCACCAACCTCCCCCACTTGGCTGAGCTCGTCCTCACCCTCAACAACTTCTCTTTCAACTCCTCTCATTTTCTTCAGGTCAGAGGGGTTGCCATGGGTACCCGCATGGGCCCTAGTTATGCCTGTCTCTTCATGGGGTATGTGGAACATTCCTTGTTCCAGTCCTATTCCGGGCCCCACCCACAACTCTTTCTCCGATATATCGATGTTGCTTCCCTCTCTCATCCGGAATTGGAAAAATTCATCGATTTTGCTTCTAATTTCCACCCTGCCCTCGCTTTCACCTGGTCTATCTCTGACTCCTCCCTTCCCTTCTTCGACACTTCTGTGTCCGTTTCTGGGGATAGACTGGCCACTAATATCCATTACAAACCCACTGACTCCCACAGCTACCTGGACTATACATCCTCATACCCCACTTCCCGTAAAGACTCCATCCCACTCACTCAGTTCCTCCGTCTCTGTTGCATATGTTCAGATGAGACCAACTTTGAGAAAGGGAGCCTCCAAGATGTCCACCTTCTTCCTCAACTGAGGATTCTCCAGCTCCGTTGTTGACAGGGCTCTCAAACAGGTCTGACCCATCTCCTGCACTTCCGCCCTCACCCCTTCTCTTCCCTCCCGCAACAGCGATAGTGTTCCCTTGTCCTTAACTACCACCCCATCAGCATCCACAAACAGAAGATCATTGGACGCCATTTCCACCCGCTCCAGCAACATGCCACCACCAGACACATATTCCCCTCCCCTACCTTGTCTGCCTTCCGCAGGGACCGTTCCCTCCAGGGCACCCTGGACCACTCTTCCATCACTCCCAACATCCACCTCCACCACCAAACTCCCACCACCCCACAGCCCCATGGCAACTATCTGCAACCATCAAAGGTCTGACACCTGCCCATTTACCTTCTCCCTCCCCAATATCCAAGGGCCCAAACATACTTTCATGATGAGGCAGCACCTCACCTACGCTTCATACAGTCTTGTCTACTACAATCCAAAGATGTGCAGGTTAGGTGAATTGGCCATGCCAAATTGCCCAGGGTGTCCAGAGATATCTGGGCTATGTGGCTTAGCTGTGGGAAACGGCGGGTTATGGGGATAAGGTAGGGGTCTGGGTGATGTTCTTTGGTGGGTCGGGGTAGACTTGATGGACTGAATGGCATCTTTCTGCATTGCCGGGATGCTATGATTCTATCATCAAATCAAACTGGCTATCATCATATCCAAGGAGTTTGGGTGGGATATTCTTCAGAGGGTCAGGGCAGACATAATGTGCCGAATGGCCTATTTCTGTACTACAGGCATTCTCCCCAATATCTATCATCCCATCAAACTGGCTATCAATGTATCCCAGTTACAACATGAACAGATTCCTTTGTTAATTCATCATGAGTAAGGGGGTTGACCAGTGAGGAGCCCAGCACTCGAGGAGTTAACCATTTTTTTTGCTGAATCATCTGAGAGAGGCGGTAACAAGGTTGTGGGCGGCGTACAGCCCAATAAATAGGAGGCTCCGGCAATGCGCTAGCTCAGAATTCAGGTTGTATTCTTGCTTCAACAGTGTTTGGACGGAATAGAACCCAAAGGTTCCTCCTCGCCAATTCCACTTTTTCAGGAAATTTTTTTTAACACTTTTTGTTTTAAACCCCTTTGGACAACCACAGCAAGATCAGAGAATGGCTTCCCAGGTCCGCCAGAATTACCACCAGGATTGCGAAGCGGCTATCAACCGCCAGATTAACATGGAACTCTATGCTTCCTATGTCTACATGTCAATGGTAAGGCGGTGCAAACTCTCATCACTTCTTTTTCGTTAACAAAAGTCTCTTTTTCTCCTCGAGTTAAAGGTTGGATCGGTTCTAATTTCTGGTTTGGGAGAGATGGGCTTGTTCTAAATTAATATCCCTCCAACGAATGGGGAATTACAAGCCTCTAAATTTTTGTCATGGCTGGTTTCTTTGTTTCTCTTCCTCGAACACTCCCTCTCCAGCACAGCCGTTTTCTGGGTAGAATGAGTCATCAAAGCAAACTGATAATCCCCAATACAAATAACAACAACACTTTGTAGCCTTCCAATGTAATTTGTGGTTTGTACTCTTCATTAAATGCGCTCATTCCAGATTTTGAGCTCACTTTTTTCTATTTCCTCCAGAATGCCTTCTTTGACCGGGATGATGTTGCCCTGAAACACGTTGCTAATTTTTTCCAGCATCAGTCCCATGAGGAGCGGGAACATGCAGAGAAGCTGATGAAGTTTCAAAACCAACGAGGGGGCCGTGTGATTCTTCAGGATGTTGCGGTTAGTTTTAATTTTAAAACCAATGGCTTGCCTGTGCAAGTACTAGACTACGTCTTGCCTGTCCTCGTGTTCAGGGCTCGTTTGTTCCTGTATGGCTTTTCAAAAAACGTCTGGCCTGATCTATCTTCCCTTTTTTTTTGTGTGCGCCCCCCAGAAACCTGATCGTGATGAATGGAGCAATACCCTGGAAGCAATGAGGTGTGCCCTTCACCTGGAGAAAACAGTGAACCAGTCTCTGCTAGAACTGCACAAACTGGCCTCTGACAAGGTTGACCCTCATGTGAGTATAGATTGATTCCTTTGTTCTTGCCCAAGCTGATCCTAACCTGCTTTCTCTCCCTGCTGCCCACCCCACCATCCAATTGAGCTTGTCATTAGTCTGCCTAAGACAGCAGGGTTCCTACTACAGATTTGAATAATGCCTATTTATTTGGTTCACCTTTTTTAACAAATTGCTTGTGGTAAGTCTAACAAGTCAGCAACACTGAATTGTGTAGTTAATTTTTGTATAGGAGTTCATTCTGTTCTTGACTGGATCTAGGCCTGAAACATCAGCCTTCCTGCTCCTATGATGCTGCTTGGCCTGCTGTGTTCATCCAGCCCTGCACCTTGTTGTCTCAGTTTCAGCACAGCTGGTTTATGGAGTTAAAGTTTAGGATTGAGGACTCTCAATTGAATGTAGTGTCACCATAGATTCATAAGACTGATCTGAGATGCTTGGTGAATGTAAGATGAGACTCCTGCCCCTCCTCCCAAGGGGTCTGGTTGGGAAGGTGGGACTGTACTAGTTGACTTGTCCAGTAACAGTTGAGCACATGTTGGCATCTCAAACTAACTAACATGTTGCAGTGCCAGGCCCAATTGCATTCTAAGGTTTAAACCTAAGATAGGGTGGCACAGTGTTTGGCACTGCCTCCAATGTCAAGAGCCTGGGTTCACTTCTAGCCTTCTGTTTCAACATCTGTATGATGTTCACTTGGTACACACACCCTCTTGTCTAAAGCTATGATGGTTGTCTGGATTAGGCAGGATAAATGTAGAGTTACAGGGATTGAGATGCTGGTCAGACAGTTGGTGCAGACTTAATGGGCCAAATGGCTGCTTCACACTGCAGGAATTCTGGGGTTTTTTCAGTGATATCCCTATCTAATGAGACCCAAGTTCAAGTAATACATCAGTTTTCAAAAATCTAACTCTTTAAATTTCCTGCCTCCTAGATGTGTGACTTCCTGGAAACTCACTACTTGGATGAACAAGTCCAGGCTATCAAGAAGCTTGGGGATTTCATCACTAACCTGGTACGGATGGGAGCTCCCCAGAATGGCATGGCTGAGTACCTGTTTGACAAGCATACCCTGGGAGAAAGCAGCTAAAAGATCTACTGATTTTAAAACCACTGTGCCTCAAATTCTAGCACCTCTATCAATGTGTTTGTATTTTTTTAAACAAGTGAATGTTTGTCTACTTTTTAAATGGAGTAAGGTTTTTGGTACTATCTTTTTTGTGGGTTATTAACTCTGAACTCCCTTGTTTTATAAATGGCAAGGTGAAGAGATTGAGATGCTGGGTAGGGGAATAAACTTGCAGTGACACATTCTATCAAGTGAACAAATTGTGAAACTGTATATGGCACAGCTGCTGATCACTTAAATAAAGGTTGTCAAGTGTTAAAAGCTGTTTTCTTTATTTAAAATACTGGACATTATTCATTGACTAGTGCCATGCTCCAACATGGAGGCACAATACTTTTAACAGTCCTGCCACACCAGTTGAAATCTCTGCCATAGAGGACAGAAACAGACCCTTCAGTTTATGCCAATGTAACCCTAAACTAGGTCTAATTCATTCTAAACCTCTTACTATTCATATGCCATCATCCATCACTTCACTTCAGCTGGAAGTTTATTCTACATGTGAATCACTTTTTTTTTGTTTAAAAATACTGCCCCTTTTTAAGGGGATTAAAAAACCCTTCCTTTTTCTCCAACCCCACCTCTTAAGACCCTTGCCTTTAAAACATGCCCTCTTAGCTTCCACTAATGTGGGTGGAGTTTCACCTACCATTCACAGATGATCATATTCTATGCTTAGTGGCAGAAGGGAAAGAATTCCCTCTTATAACCCAAACCCTCCATCCCCAGCAACTTTTTTTGTTCCCTCTTCTGACTTCTTCAGAACCCTCCTCAACTTAATATGGTAAGAAGTGAGCTCTCCAGAAGAGACCTCACCAATGTCCTAAACAGCCTCAATACAACCTTCCCACCCTCCCAACTCCTGTACTCCAAGGTCTGAAATGCAGGCAAGTGTGTGAAATGTCATAACCATAACCAATAACCATAACCACCCTGTTTAAATTTGAGGCCAGCTTCAAAGAATTATGTACCTGAATACCCCAGAGCTCTCTTCTATAACAGATGTACAGTACAGAAACCCCATTCAGTCCATCTTGTCCATGCCAACACCAACCAGATATCCTAGATAAATCTAGTTCCCATTTGGTCCATATCCCACTAAATCCTTCCCATTTGCATACCTATCCAGATGCTGTTTAATTGTTATTGTACCAGCCTCCACCACTTCTGGCAGCTCATTCAATACATGAACCCACCTCTGTGGAAAAAGTTGTCCCTTGGGACCCTTTTAAATCTTTTCCCCCTTACCTTAAATCTGTGCCCTCTAGTTTTTGACTCCCCTACCCCAGGGAAAAGACCTTGTTTATTTACTGTATCCATGACCTTATAAACCTCTATAAGGTCACCCTTCAGTCCCTAGTGCTCTAGGGAAAATAGCCCCAGTCTATTCAGCCTCTCCCTATAGCTCCAACCCTGGTGACATCTTTGTAAATCTTTTCTGAAACCTTTCAAGTTTCACAGTTTCACAGTTTCACAACGTCTCTCCTATAGCAGGGAGACCAGAATTGCATGCGGTATTCCAAAAGTGGCCTAACCAATATTCTGTATAGCTGCAACATGACGTTCCCAACTCCTATACTCAATTCACTGATCAATAAAGACAAGCATACCAAACACCTTTTTTACTAGCCTCTCTACCTGTGCCTCCACTTTCAAGGAACTATGAACCTGCACTCCGAGGTCCTTGCCTGATTTGCCTTTGGAAGATGTAGCACCTCACATTTCACTAAACACTACCCAAGACCCTACTTTTAATTGCTTGTCCTTGTTTACTTTTACTAAAATGCAAATTCTCCAAATTAAACTCCAGCTGTCATTTCTCAGTCCATTGATTCAAATGGTCAAGATTTCCTTGTGATCTTAGAACACCTTCACTGTCAACTATACCACCAATTGGTATCATCTGCAAACTTACCATGCCTTCTATATTTTCATTTAAATCATTCATATAAATGACAAACAAGTGTACCCAGCACCGATCCTCTTGAACACCATCGGTAACAGGCCTCCAGACCTCTGCCACGCCACTGTCACTGGAACAAAGTCACTACTCTCCAGCACCATGTCATCTCCACCAACACCGCCACCTTGATTTCACGCTGGACCAACCTCACCGATACAGCTGGTGTCGCTGGGACCAAACTTGCCACTGCTGCCTGGGCCTAGCCGTGGACCTGAAGCCTCAACGCTGCCTGTGAGTCTGATCTGGGGGCTTAAGCCTGGGACCTGCTCCTTGTTTGCCAGGAGACCTTGGGCTGGAGTGGAGCCGCCTCCGCCTCATCCTGGCGCTGCCGAATGTTTTCTCCTTTGTCATTTACTCATCCACACCACTCTCTGGGCCTGCGCTGCCATCTTGGTTAGCCTTTCCGCGCAAAGCCCACTCTCACCGATGCTGCTGCAATGGGGCGAAAAGGCAAGAGAAAAGACTTTAAAGAAAAAGTAAAGCAGAAGTAGAAAGACAAGTAAGAAGAAAGAAAAGCAGATGGAAATGGACGAGCTCCAGTATCATTAGCCCGAATACTGCTATCTTGAAGGTATCCAATTGGCAAGCTCACCCTGAATCCCATGTGATCTAACTTTACTAATCAGTCTACCATGCAAAACTTTGTCAAAGGCTTTACTAAAGTCCATGTATACAACATCTACCACTCTGCCCTCATCAATTTTCTTGGTTACTTCTTCAAAAAACTCAATCAAGTTTGTGACACAATTTCCCCTGCACAAAACCATGTTGACTATCCCTAATCATTCCTTGCCTCCCTGTCAATCCTTAACATCCTGGGATACACTGGATCAGGTCCTGCAGATTTATCCACCTTAATATTTTCTAAGTCCTGTAGCACTTCCTCTTCTATAATGTGAACTGTTTTCAAAACATCAATATTTATTTCTGAGTTCCCTAGCCTCCGTTTCTTTCTCCACTGTAAAAACTGACACAAAATATTCATTTAATATCTCTCCCGTCTCCTGAGGTTCAACACAAAGACGACCTCTTTTATCTTTAACAGGCCCTACTCTCTCTTCACTTGTTGGTGGGTGTGGCAGTAGTGACTATGTACTCTAAATCTATGTGTTTCTAGATGGATTATAAATTACCAAAATCATCTCTTCTGCGCTGCAATCATGTAGTAAGTTGCACTCAGGCTGGACTTCAACACAATTTTAGCAAACAATGTTTCCTGTAGTCCAACCAAAGTATATAAGACACAGAAACATTCAACCACATCTTTTCTAATTTGTTAACAACTGTATTAAAAGTTAATGTACTGAAATTGTGCGAATGACTTTTGAATTTAAAAGATGTTTCAGGATCAGTTACTAATCATAAGAACAGCAGTAGACCATTCAGCCCCTTGAACCTATTCTGCCATATAATGAGATCATGGCTGATCTTTAGCCTAACTCCATACCTACCTTTGGCCCACATTCCTTAATAAGTCTTGCTTAAAACAATTCCCTGATTTTCTTTAAACATTTAACTGATCTAGCATGAACTGCAGCTTGTGGAAGTGTTCCAAAATTCTACTGCCCTTTGTATGTATAAGTATTTCATAACATTTCTCCTGCAGGGTCTGGCCCTATGTTTAGACTATGCTCCTACTTCTAAATGATACCAGTTACATTTTGTACAATGGTACATTTCATGAAACCTACTACAAATGTCTCACTGTTCCCTTCTGGGTGTACTGTCTCTTCTCCTTATCTCTCTTTGTATCGCTGTCCCCATACACAGGCCCTATGAGAAGTTGGTCCCTGAAAAGGGAATTCTGGTTTATAATTTTCTAATCAGTCTGTTCAGGGATATTTATTACACACCTCTGGAGCAAGTGGGACCTAAAACTGGATCTCTTGGCTCAGAAGTAAGGACACGGCCACTATCACCAAATTCCTAGCAGACTATGATTGAGGTGTTGCTACAAGAGAATACACCTGGGAACAGCTAACCCCAAATTTTAGTTCCAATTCAAACCAAGCCAATTGACTAGTCAAGCCACTGCTGGGGTAAATACAATGGATTGTTCCTTATGAAATGTGTCACTTATTTTGCATCTGTCCTAGCTAATGTTAAGACAAAAATAGACTTGGTGATGGCATGTTCTTTCTCAGCAATACTCAAGTTCTGTACTACTGAGTGACTGTGTACAACTTCTTCCTTTCAATAACTATTTCCTTGTTGAATGAACAAACACTTTAACTGTTCCTGAGTACATTTTCAATGGTAATGCCTTAATTACTGTTCACTTGCCATCAATCAGCTGCCTCTTCTCATGATAATCTTGTACTTCAATGGGGATGGTATAGCAGGCTACATACTTAGCTAAGAAAACCATGCTTGTAATAGACTTCCTACAGTCTGATGTCAAAATGTTATTAGATCCATTTGAATCACATCTATAAACACCATTTTTAAATAAGTAATCTCGACCTAAATCTTTGGAAGCACAAGTATCAATGTCGCTAAACTCCTCCAGCTTGGTTTCCATCTTTGTTTAATAGCAATCTTGTATAGCCTTTCCAAATTGTGACCTCCACCTGCTGGGTCAAGCCCCATTCCTAAGATTTTGAACACAACTCATATCTGGTATTGCCAGTAATGAACGCGTGCTGCACTGTCTGAGCTGCTGTGTTTTGGAATTGATGTTCAACTTCTCAGGTATTTTGGCCCACATTCATCCCTCAAACATCATCATGTGGTCATCTTGTATTTTCTGCTGTACACATTGGCTTCCCCTTCAGATGTGTGACACCAACTCAAAAGTACTTCATTGGCCATGAAAGGCTCACCTATAAAGGTAAGTTCTTTGAGCACCGTTAGGATTTTGTGTGGGACTGGGGCACAGGTCAGAAAGGATTCCAGTTTAAACATGGGTCTGGGTGGTTATATTGTCACATCTACACCAATGTGCTAGGTGGGCCCAGGTTTATGTACAATAGGTTCAAAAGAAGGTGCTTCCTGAGACTGACTGCTAACAAAAAAAAATGACAGGCAGGAATGGAGAGGGCCCTAATTGGTCATCCAGCTAAGCACCTTCAGGAGATCCTCCATATTCATACACTGGCCCAGTGCAAATTTCCCCAATGTTAAAAGGGGCCCTCAATCTTTCAGTATGGACCCAAGAAACAGTGAAGCGCAAAACAGTAGAGACTTAACCACTTTTATTTGGGAACAGATTGCAAAGTGTGTTCTTTCCAGAGTACTTGTTGAATGGATTACTGTTGTCCAAACAGATTTGCTTTAATGCCACACTCCATTTATCATAACGATTCCAGCAATAACAGTGCTATAACGTAACACATGGGATAACAGAATCTACTGCTCAATTTAGCAATGGATTCCCTTCTGGCTGGTCAGGATGATGAGCTGGCAGAACATGAGGAAAGGGTGGGCTTAACAGACACAGGCTATGCCCTAATGGCCTAGGATGGCCAAATGCCCTCAGCTGTTAGCTGCCTTCCCCCAGCGTGTGCTTGTCGAACAGGTACTCTCCCATGCCATTCTCAGGAGCTCCCAAACGCTTCAGGTTGGTGATGTGGTCTCCCAACATCCTAATGGCCTCAATTTGTTCATTCAAGTAGTTTGATTCCAGGAACTCGCATAGCTGAAACAGAAAGAAAATGCAATGCTGAAGAGTGTCTCTATATCGTCACTTAACACGCTAACAGAGGACACTTCAAATTCTACTCATAGATTTAATTACCAGCCCCTGTTTATGGACATTATCCAGCTGAATAGTGAAACACATTTCAAGCTAGAAATTGTCCACGACCAGTCAGAGAGTTCTTTAAAATTAGATCTTACTCCTGAGTTGGTGGTGGGCTAGCTCACTTGGGCTGGATGACTATATTTGATGCAATGTAATGCCAACAGTGTGGGTTCAATTCTCACACCAGCTAGGGTTACCATGAAAGATTCTCCTTCTCAACCCCTCCCTTTGCCTGAGGAGTGGTTCACCCTCAGTTTAAACCACTGCCAGTTGTCTCTAATGACAGAACAGTCCTTTGGTCCAGTAGGACTATGGCAACTTTACTCCTGAGTCAAAATCCTGCAACTCCTTCCCTAATGACATAATGGGGCTACCTACAGCAAATGAACTGCAGCGGTTCAAGAAGGCAGCTCACTATCACTGTCTCAAGGTCAACTAGAGATGGGCAATAAGCTAACAATAGCCACATTCTCTGAATGCGTTTTTAAAAGTTTCCGGATACAATAGACTATTGAATCTTTCTGCTGTCAGTCAAATAAATGCTGAAAATTTTTCTGAAGAAGGGTCTAGGCCCGAAACATCAGCTTTCCTGCTCCTCTGATGCTGCTTGGCCTGCTGTGTTCATCCAGCTCTACACCTTGTTATCTCAGCTACAAAGTATGCTGCCTTGTAGATTCATCCCTCTTTGTTTAATCATAGAACTGCTTAGCACAAGAGACCATGCAGCCCAACACTCCCATGCTAGGTCAAAGGAAGAGGCATCCAATTTCTCTCATTCCCATTCTCATTCCCCTCAGCCCTTCAAATGTTACCATTCAATTACCATTGAATCTGCTTCCACCGTTCTTTCAGTCAGTGCGTTCCAAATCAGAATAATGTGCTGTGTTAAGTTTTTAAAAAAATCTCTATCCATCCCTTTGTTTCTTTTGCCAATTATCTTGAACCCGACTCTTTATGTTACTGACCTTCCAGACAGCAGAAACAGTTTCTCCTTATTGATTCCATGAAGGCCTCTCATAGCTTTAAACAACTGCATCAAATCTACACAGAACCTTTTCACTTCTGAGGGCAACAAATGTATACACCAATTCAGAATGGCTAGGGTTTGGCAACGTCTGCCCAACTCACAACGAGATCTTTCTGCTCGGATGCCACTTTGTGTAGATTCAGGATAGATTGGTTCACCGTTTTCTCCAGCTCCAGGGCCTGCTCCATCGCTTCCAAGCCATTGCCCCATTCATCCCGGCTGGGTTTCTATGAATAAAGATAATTGGGTCAATGGACTTGAACCAAATCGCTTAACATTAGGGAAAAGCCATTGGAACAGTGAAGAGGGTAGAGAAATCTCTTGCCCACTAACCTTGATGTCCGAGAAGATGATATGGCCACCACGCTGATTCTGAAACTTCATCAGCATCTCCGCATGTTTCTGTTCCTCAAGTGACTGCTCCAAGTAGAACTTGGCAAAGTTCCGCAAAGCAACATCTTCCCGGTCAAAGTAGTACGACTGAGGCAGATAAAAACAGCAGGCGATGACAATATTTAAAACACCAAGGCACACGCCATCCCAACACGAATATACCTCACCATTCATTCATGGTCACCCTGTTAACACCCTACCATTCACTACCTACTCAGAGCAGAATACAAAATCTTCAAGGCTTCAAGAGGCAATCCCACAATCTTCTCGGGACAAGTAAGAATTTGTACGTGTCAGCTTTGTACCAGCATATAACACTGACCTCAGTCAGAAGATTGTGGTTTACATTTTTCTCCAGAGAGGAGACATGTCCATTGTAGTTATTTACATTCACCTCAGGGAGTTTTCCAAAGCGACATCTTCGTTTGCAAAATTCCCACAGGTGCACACAAGGAACCCAATAGTTTTACCGTATTTCAAAGACCAGGGCTGTTATCCCTTGTTTCCCAGCCAGTATTTATCTTTTCACCATAACTAGTAAATCAAACAAGTAATTCAGTAGAGAGGAAACGCACAGTTAATGTTTCAAGTCCAGTGATCCGTTCTCAGAACTGTTCTGGACTCCAAATATTAACTCTGCCTTCTCTCTAGAGATGCCGCCAGACCTGCTGAGTTTCTCTAGCAATTTCTTCTTTTGTTTGAGATTTCCATCATCCGCAGTTCTTTGTTTTATTTAGTCACTTGTGATTGTGTGTAAGCTTGCTTTAAGGAAAATGGCGACCCGTGTTTCCTGCATAATAAGTGACTAATCATCAGCAAAGCACCTCACTGGCTGTTATGTGTTTTGGGATGTCCTGAGGTTGAGAAAAGAGCTATAAAATTCCTTCTTCAACAATGAAACTGTTGAATGGATTTGAGCCTCAAATAATGTAACCTGTATGCCTCTAAATCTTTGTGTTCTGTACATCATTAGCTAACTGTGATCTGCCTGTACCGCTCATAAACAAAGCTTTTCACTGTATTTCGGTACACGTAACAATAAAATCAATTAATCAATAATCTAAACTGGAAGATGTTGGAGACTGATCATCATTGAGTAGGGACAAAACATGACTATAATTTGAATTAAAATTGGTGGAAGTTATACAAATAGGTGTAAGCTGTGTAGGCTTACGTTGAAGGACTTGTGTCAGTTTATACCTTGTGTAGCAGTCACTGAAGGTAAGCATGCAGGTGCAGCAGGCAGTAAAGAAGGTAAATGGTATGTTGACCTTCATTGCGAGAGGTTTCGAGTGCAGGAGCAGGGATGTGTTGTTGCAGTTGTACAAGGCATTGGTGAGACCACACCTGGAATATTGTGTGCAGTTTTGGTCTCCTTTTCTGAGGAAGGATGCTCTTGCTGTTTAGAATAGTTGGAAATGCTGCAGAACCTCCAGTAGAAGGAGGATGTAACTGCAGTGTGACATGTTTACATTCACAATTTAAAAACATAGAAGATAGGAGCAGGAGGAGGCCATTCAGCCCTTTGAGCCTGCTCCAACGTTCTAATCATGGCTGAAGGTTTGGGAGGGAGTGTGGCGAAGGTTTACCACGTTGATTTTGGGGATGGCGAGTCTAACATGTGAGGAGAGATTGACTAGGTTGGGATTGTTTTCGCTGGAGTTCAGAAAAATGAGGGGGATCTCACAGAGACCTATAAAATTCTATCAGAACTGGATAGAGGAGATGCAGGGAGAATGTTCCCGATGTTGGGTGCGTCAAGACCAGGGGTCACAGTATGAGGATTCGGGGTAGATGATTTAGGATAGAGATGAGGAGACATTTCTTCACCCAAAGAGTGGTGAGCCTGTGGACTTCATTACCACAGGAAGTAGTTGATGCCAAAACAAGTAAACGTATTGAACAGGCGACTAGATATATCACTGGGGGCGAATAGGATCAAAGGTTATGGGGAGAAAGCAGGATTAGGCTATTGAGTTGGACGATCAGCCATGATCGTGAAGAATGTCGGAGCAGGCTCAAAGGGCTGAATGGCCTCCTCCTGCTCCTATCTTCTATGTTTCTAAATTGTGAATGTAAACATGTCACACTGCAGTTACATCTTCCTGCTACTGGAGGTTCTGCAGCATTTCCAACTATTATAAAGAGTTAAGAACAATATTACAAGCAAGACAATATGACACTTTATAAACAGGCATAGGAAATTGAAAAGAAAAAGCCAGCCTTAGTTGAGTATGAGCTGACATAAGCCCTTCAATGTAAATCTATACAGTTTACAACTATTTGTATAACTTCGGATTTTAATTCAATTTGTAGTCATGTTTTGTCCCTGCTCAATGATGACCAGTCTTCAACATCTTCAAGTTTGGATGATTGATTGATTGATTTTATTGTCACATGTACCGAAATACAGTGAAAAGCTTTGTTTACGAGTGGTACAGGCAGATCACAGTAAGCAAAGGATGTACAAGTCAAAAAGACGTACAGGCGTACAGGTTACATTATTTGAGACTACAGTCTATTCAATGGCCAGGAAGTAGCTGTTCAATATGCACCTGGACATTATGCTTTCAATGGTGCATCTATAGAAGTTGATGAGGGACCTTATCGACATGCTAAATTTCCTGAGGCGCCTGAGGAAGAAGAGGTGTTATTGTGCCTTCTTAACTGTTGCATTTACATGGGGAGTCCAGGACAGGTCGCTGGTTATCGTCACTCCGAGGAACTTGACGCTCTTCACTCTCTCAGCCTCAATTCCATTGATGTGGATGGAGGCATATTCTCTTTTCTTCCTGAAGTCGATGATCAGTTCTTTAGTTTTGCCAACGTTCAGAGACAGATTGTTTTCATTGCACCACATCACCAAGCCCTCCATCTCCCTTCTGTATTTTGACTCATCGTTGTTAGCTATCAGTCCCACTATATGGTCTCTTCAGTGAACTTGTAGATGGCATTCGTTCAGAATTTGGCAACACAGTTGTAGGTGTACAGGGAGTACAGTAGGGGGCTGAGGACACATCCTTGGGGAGCTCCGGTGTTGAGTGTTATTGTGGAGGAGGTTCAGTTACCTATCCTCACTGATTGTGGCCTATGGGTCAGAAAGCTGAGGATCCAGTTACAGAGGGCAGAGCTAAGACCAAGGTCACACAGTTTAATTGTCATTAAACTTAAAGGTTAATTCTCTCTCTCTATCCAGGTACTATCCGACCTCCTGGGTGCTTTCCAGCCCTTGCTATTTGTCATTTCCGATTTCCAGCCAACATAGTATTTTCTTTTCATGCTATATTCTTCCTGTTCTCAATTTAAAAAAAAAACTATGCTGGATTTAGTCTCAATTATTTTAGGGCTCGGTGCTCTCAAGATATACTTTCTAATATCTTTAAATATTCAGCGTGATTAAAAACTTCCATTTGAAACCAATGTCCTGTCCTATGTTTAATGCAAATCAACAAGATTACATGAGACAACAAGGTGCAGGGCTGGATGAACACAGCAGGCCAAGCAGCATCATAGGAGCAGAGAGGCTGACGTTTCGGGCCTAGACCCTTCATCAGAAAGATGCTTTGAATGCTTGTTTGATGAACATGCTTATTTCAGTCAGAAAACCACTTCAGAAGTCAAAAATCTCAACTTCACCAAACGACTTAACTTTA